CTGAACAACAAGCAATCATTGGTTACGAAGAACGGTTCAAGAAGTTGGAAGATTTTCTCAAAAAAACTGGCTTCACCGGCAATATTCCGTTCAGTTTGGACTTCAGCTCTCTTCCATCCGACGAGAAGGAGAAGTTTGTTGATGAAGCAAAAGTCGTTTTCGCCTATGTGTCGAATATTACACCAAATGCCATGCTAGAACTTTATCAAATTCTGGGCGTCGAAGAAGATACAAGCGATGATGAAGATAATTCGTATATTAAAGTCTCAGGTGACATTAATGATGGTCTGAACGGAAATCTCAGAACACATAATTTTTGTTATTTTATTGTTAACTATTGTAGATTAACAGCTCAATGTTGGTTTCTTTAGAAGTTAAGAAAAACACTTTTTTTTGCGTCGTTTCTTTTACATAAATAAAGAACATGAACGTTGATCAAAGCATTGATCTTCTGCCATAACATTTAACAAAAAACATTTTATCTGTGATTCATAGTGAGTCGAGAAGAGATACGGTGTTCAATAAGAATATCGTTTTAGATATATGTTAGTCTGTCGCAGAAACATCAATTCTTGAGTTCTATATCGATCAATAATAGTTAAAAAAGAGTGGTGAATCTAATAAACGATGTGATAATTTCAGTTAGGGGACATAAAATATTTTTTTGAAAAGAACAAAATGACTAGAGCAGTCTTCTATCAATCGACTCAAAATAATACTTGACGCTTCACTCATAAGTCATTCATCTTTCATTGTTCAATCGTGAAGTTTGATATCAGATTGATATTTTACGTCAAAATATATATAAGATAAGGAATATATTCATTGAATACATAGGTATTCTCGAAGAGAAAAGTTTCATTTGTGAAAGTTTTGGATTAAGAGAAATGCATTTCTTTTTTTTTTTCTTTCTTCCATAAGAAGAACTTTCTTATATGTAATGGTATGCGTTGTATAAATCGGGATAATGTTTTGGTATGCAAATGTGATCTGCTGTCTTCAAAAGAGATAATTGCAACATGGAAAGTTGGATTTATGAGAACTATTCACAATCTGCACTTGAATAAATTGTTCCGCTTGCGAAGAAAAATCTGTTAGAGGTTTTATGTTAAAGAAAACAAAATCATAACTATCCTTGTGTAGCAGAAGATTGCTTCGCTTGAAAGAATTTTTTAGAACCCGATGAATACATAGGGACCGTTTCCGGCTGGAAAACTTTGGAAAATGATAAAACTTGGAAGCAGTATTCCGATAGTCCATTTCGGTGACCGGATTTCTTCGGTTTCGGTCGGAATTGACCGTAGCCGATCAGAGCCGATCACTTGATTCGATTATCGGAATACTGTTTCCAAGTTCCTATTATTTTCCGGAGTTTTTCGGCCGGAAATGGCCTCTTTCTGGCGGGTTTTCCGCCGGAAATTCACGGAAGCTAGAGCTGGAATCATCGACCTGGGAAGTTCCCTCAACTATACAGAGGATCATATGAAATACAATGAGTGTGTATGTATGTTTGTGTCAAGGTCAAAGATGAAAACCCAAGAGTTGATAAGCGAGTTAAGGCTAATTAAGACTAATCATGATTAATTAAGACTAATTTATTCCTTGATTTTCTTCAAACCAAGAACTTAAGCGGAACGATTTTACGTATTTCAATAGAAATCCTTTCTCCCATTTACATTTGTACATAAGAGTTTACGAAAGGTAAATATAGAAAGGGGTGAGTCTGTCGTCCTGACCTTCTCCTCGCGATAATAAAATAAAGTACATGGAAATAATCCAGTATTCTCTTTTAGTTTTTTCATTGAGTGCGGTCTTAGCAGAAGCATCGTCAATAATATAGATGAGACAAATATCTGTATGAATCTCTCGTCGTTTTCAAGTTCCATATGCGTGAAATTAGCATATCGAAAAGTATATCTAGTGTGCTGTGTTCAACTCAGATATTAAGTCATTCTATGTCCTAATGTCTGACATGGGTCAAATTTTCAAGACTGAAACCTAATTCTCTTGTATAGCGATCACATCATTAAAAGGACATGAAATGATGAATAAATGAACGATTATTCTTTGAACAGGATTGTTTTCCGATTGAACTTGAATGGATGGTATCTATTATGGTGTTCTCGATTGTTGCCAAAGATCGTCAAATTGGATCTACATTCGATCGAGCCCACATATAAATAATTTTTATGACTCAGATCAGAGAAATTTATCTCTTATGATCTGTAACCAGTGCTGCGATGATGAGATATTTATCATTTTCGTGAAAGCAATTTCATATACATAATTTTGATTTGTTCCAACTAATAAGATTTCTTCACTTGGACTCAATACTAATAAAGATATGATGTGATCTGATGTAAAAAATAAAGGAAAATTTGTTGAAGATTCATGATGAAGTAATTCCTTTCTTCGAAAGATTCTTTCGGTAATAAATAGGATGTTTTAGTTTTGTTGAAGATATTGAAAGATTTGTTAAACCATTTTCCACTCTTTCATAGATTAATGTATTACTTCTACTTGAATTTCATATCAACGAAATCTTTCAATCCAAATCAATTTTGATTTTCTTACGCTGTTGAAACAAAAACTCCACATATAAATGGCCACCAAGAGATAAAGTCTTTCGTATGAATCCATTCTGTTTGTTCAATAGGATTAAATTGAATTAAATTTGATAATTGAGAATAATATCTTTGCTACCGTCTTTGATTATTTCCAATAAGAATTGCCGATGACGTTTTCTGATTAAGAAGAAATCTTGAGGAAAATCATGTTTTGAATCCAATTGGAGAAATTTTTTCCGAATTCGATCGATTAACCTTCAAAGTATTGGACGATTGACGAAAAAGATTTCTTCGTTAATTTTCGATTTTTTCCATGATCCACAGAAATGAATGAGATCAATGAAGAAAAATCTATTGATATATAAATCATCTTTTGAAATAATATCTCCATATTTATTAATTGTACGCATTAAACCGTCATGAAGTCCTAATAAAATATTATTAGAATTTAACTAACAATGATATCGAATATTCATTGACTCAAATCGTTGATATTGTCCAAAATTTAGTAAGCTGGATCGACCATTGATAAAACTATATTCTTGAAATAAATGATTTCCAGTTAAAAATGTTTTCGAATGATCAATTGGATCAAATGAAGCATAAAAAACTATTTTGTAAGACAATGATTGATGAAGATATGCAATAATTTGTAAAAGAAAAAGATGTAGAGAAATCATTCCAATAGATTTCAATCGATCAATTGACTAATAAACAAGACATTAATTAGATGAACTACTGCAACTCGATTGAAGTACAAAAGAAGATATTTGGAATTATTTGAAAAAATTATTGATAAAATATGATTGGAACGAATGGAATTGAACATTAACAGAGAATTATTCGTCGTCAAATATCACGAGAATTTATCTTAGAAAATTCATAAAGAATTATTCGATATTTCTCAATCATTTTTGATTCATTTCTAAATATTCTGTATTTAGACTGATTGATAAACATTTCAATTGATCAGATTCGTTACCATAATTGATTAAACATTGCCATTTATAATCACCATCATAAAAGATAAAATATCGTCTCGATGGATGATAATAGCAATACTCATGGAAATAACTAAAACTATTTTTTAATGCACTTCGAGTACTAAATATATGTTTGATTGTTAAATCCCTTATCCTCATTCATTATCTTTCACTTTACTACGATTATTTTAATTATACTTAGAACATTTCATTCAAGTTCAAATTGTAGATCTTTTCTTTAGTTATATCATTGGAGGCTATTCTTGTCGATTCAATCTTCCAATTTTCTATCTGAAAGCAACTACTCTGACCTTTCTCCAACAAGAATATCAATACTTTGGGTTATGAAGATGAAAAAGACAAAATACAAAAGATAGGCAGTGAATTAATAACCTTTATCGAATTGAAATCTAAATCATGTTATCTATATCTCAAAATGATCCATACTAGTGCTATCTCACTTTGTCATATCATGAAGAACATCTAGTAACGCAACACTCGTTATTCTGTTGTCTTTCACAAGGCTATCGATGACTCTTTGCTTCACTTCCTCTGATTCTTGCATTATTTGTTTTGATTCATGGAAGATTTTGGTCTTCGTTTTATTTATTACAGCGCATGATATCCACACATTTTGCTTTCTTCTTCTCTTCACGTCATAATATTAGTCACATTTTCCTTGAGGGTGGGTGTGAGTCTCGTTGTGAGTGTGGGTGTGGGTACCACTTGAGTGTACCCTTCTCCTACACCTAAAACCAGACTCACCCTCTTTATCGTCAAATTTTTTTTTGAGCGAATAAATAATAACAACATCAGATAGTTTGTAGTAAATCATATGTTAGAGCTTAGTTGCATTTCTCTCATTAAATCACAGCTTTGTTATTCATAAAACGTTTCAAACTCAATGAAACATAATCAAGCCGGCAGAAAAATGAAACAGTATGATAAACCAGTGAAGTGACAACAGAAAGTGTCAACAGTTATCACACCACTTTGTTTCTTGAGTCTGGAATGTTCTTCATTCAAACCCACGTATCAGTGTATGCCAGAGAATATCTATGAACAATCAAATCTACTGTCAATACGAAGAACTCAATGAAATCTTCTCATGAAGAACTTTTTATATAACATTATCAAACGAACGTTTCGGAATTATTTGTCAGTAGAATCCATTCTGTTATAAGTGTTTACATTGTACTCACATCTCTTTTTACAGTGGATTAAGCTAACTTTAATTTAGTTTGTTAGAGATTTTCAAACACTCGAAAATGATCGAAAAGACACAACTGTGAAAAAAATTGAACTAATAAAAATTTTGATTAGGAGTATACTTTTCATACATAAAAAAACACTTTAGTTCATTTGTTGTTCCTGTTCTTGAATTTTTTCTATGCTTTTACGATAATTATTGATGATACGGGCTCTTTCGTACCATACATCAATGCCATGTTCATTGTAATGATGTGTTTAATTCAATTGCTCTCTCATAACATATTTTTGCATCTTTATATTGATGCATATTTTCATAAATACTTGCTAGTTGTTCATAGATTTTGAGACATTTTGAATCGTATGTTTGTGCTAGTTGACAATAACACACAGCTAAATGAAATGTTTTACGTCGCTTATGAATATCGACCAATGCGAGATAAAAATTATTCTTTAAAATAGCTTTATATTGTTCATCGTCTGAATTTCGAACACGAATTTCACAAGCATTTTCCAGCCAATATTGTGATTGAGAAAATTCATTATTTTCTTTATAACAATACGACAATATTTCCATGTATACACCATCAGTATATATGCCTAAAAGTTTACCGTTATTTAATTTTGGACAAATATTCAACGCTCTTTCAAAATACCACATTGCTAAATCCATTCGTTTTAGTTGACTGCATAATACACCTACTCGTGCAAATAACACATCTGGCTCATCAAGTTTTCTAGTTGAAAATATATAATGCAAAAACTTGTCGTTCTGTTCCATAGATTTAGATGCAAGTTATTGATTTAATTCAATCGAATTCTTAGCGTCATATTCAATACTTGGAATAAGATCAAGGAAAATGTAAACGTTAAAAATCATATTACCTATTGCATAGATGTCATAATACCAATACGACGAGTATCGACAGCCAGCCGTCACGATACCCTCAAGAATGAACAACGAAAGTATATTGACATTACCATCACATATTGTACCGAGAAGTAATGACTTCATTACCGTACCAATAATATATCCATCATATAACTTGAGAAATATGAGTGGATTTAGGGTATTACCCTTCGCGTAATAGCATCTCAATGCATATCGATACAGCTGTGTATTTGAAAGCTGAGGGATATGAGTGGATTTGCTGTAACGACCTCGTTACATAAAGTGAACTATGTGTTTAGAAGTTGAGGGATGTGAGTGGATTTGCTGTAACGACCTCGTTACATAAAGTGAACTATGTATTTAGAAGTTGAGGAATATGAGTGGATTTGCTGTAACGACCTCGTTACATAAAGTGAACTATGTATTTGAAAGTTGAGGGATGTGAGTGGATTTGCTGTAACGACCTCGTTACATAAAGTGAACTATGTATTTAGAAGTTGAGGGATATGAGTGGATTTACTGTAATCACCTCGTTACATAAAGTGAACTATGTATTTAGAAGTTGAGGAATATGAGTGGATTTGCTGTAACGACCTCGTTACATAAAGTGAACTATGTATTTGAAAGTTGAGGGATGTGAGTGGATTTGCTATAACGACCTCGTTACATAAAGTGAACTATGTATTTAGAAGTTGAGGGATATGAGTGGATTTACTGTAATCACCTCGTTACTTCAAACTTCAAAATACATAGTTCAATTCGCGTCTCATTACGGAAAGGGTAATACCCTAAATCTACTCATATCCCTCAACTTCTAAATACATAGTACATTTTCTGTAACGTGGTCGTTACAGTAAATCCACTCATATCTCTCAACTTCCAAACACATCGCTAGATCAATCTCAATTCACGTCTTATTACGGAAAGGGTAATACCATAAATCCACTCATATTCCTCAACTTGTAAATACATAGTTCATTTTCTGTAACGTGGTTGTTACAGTAAATCCACTCATATTCCTCAACTTCTAAACACATAGCTAGATCAATCTCAATTCACGTCTCATTACGGAAAGGGTAATACCCTAAATCCACTCATATCCCTCAACTTCTAAATACATAGTTCTATTCACGTCTCATTACGGAAGGGGTTATACCCTAAATCCACTCATATCCCTCAACTTGTAAATACATAGTTCATTTTCTGTAAGGTGGTCGTTACAGTAAATCCACTCATATCCCTCAACTTCTAAATACATAGTTCTATTCGCGTCTCATTACGGAAAGGGTAATACCCTAAATCCACTCATATCCCTCAACTTGTAAATACATAGTTCATTTTCTGTAACGCGGTCGTTACATTAAGTCCACTCATATCCCTCAACTTTCAAATACATAGCTACATCGATCTCCATTCACGTCTCATTACGGAAAGGGTAATATCCTAAATCCACTCATATTCCTCAACTTGTAAATACATAGTTCATTTTCTGTAACGATGTGGTTACACTGAATCCACTTATATTCTTCAACTTTCAAAGATGCTCAGGTGATGTTGGTGATGATAATGGATTTGATACGCGAGGTATGTAATGTCGTAATTGCTTAGGATAGATATGAATACGGGCTGTAACAGGATTATGACATCACTCACCTATTGGATGATCATCAAGCCATAAACCGAAAAAAGCAGAAAATGATAAATTGTCTTTTCGCTCTTGTTCCAATAAATCAGATAATTGAATAATAGATTCGAATTTATTACGTTCTTTCCATAAACGAGCGATATAAAGTAATCGATTGAGAATTTCATTCATCGTCCAAGGATAGAAACAAGAAAAATTAACCTTATTTTTTAAGATATTCGAATAGTAAAAATCGATGGCTTTATCGTAATTATTTTGTGAAAAATAAATCGATCCAATGCAGTTATAAATAATAAGTGAAATACAATATAAATAATGGTTAGATCCCTGTTCGTTCATATGAATTCCCTCTGCATTTTTATTTGATTGATATTTTTGATGATAAAATTTCAAAGCTTTTCTTTGATATCTTAAAGATGTTTGGAAACGTTTTTGTTCGAAAGCCAACAATCCAAGACTTACATAATAAGCTACCCTAGAGAATGTACTGAGTTAAAGGTACCCGAAAAAGTACCCTGTTACCAGTATGTCACAGGAACTTTTGGGTACCAAAGTACTTGGAAGTACTTTCAGGTACCTAAGTGGTACTTTAACAAGTACCCTGCTACAAAATGTATAGTAACTGGGTACTTGAAGGTACTTATCAGATACTCAATTGGGTACTATTGTATAGTATTTCTAAGTACCCTGTTACAAAAATTTCAGTATGTTCAGGATCGAACCTGACCTTTAACTTTTTAAAATTTTTTTTCTCTCAAAGCAATTTACTACATTTTTTTTCGATTTTATTCAATTTAATTTTTTCAGTTCCCAAAACTTAGCAGGTACAATCTCGGGATCTGACCCGACTTGAGTTGGTCAGGTATCCATCAGACCACTTCGGAGTAGTCCGCTCTTAACCTACGATCAAGATTGGCATGTTCTCGACTAAGAAATAGTCAAGAAATAATCTAGAAAAGATTAGTATGAAAATAGATTAATTTGTTATGTCTTACTCAGTTGTTTATATGGAGCCGTGCGTGAAAAAGAAA